TTAGGCTAATAAGCAACCTAACTAAAATTCACTTTTTACGAAACACAGAGCCATATCGGTTTAATCGCGAAACTTCGAAGAAGTATAACTTCTTTATTTCACGTCAGATTTAAGCATTCTATATATCTACGAAAATGGTATGAACGTTTCGTACATGTTTATGACGATTACTGTACGGCGATTACCTGGACTAAATGATGTTATATCTATACTTCGAATTTTATAAATGACGGTTTATACTGAAAAGTGTTATATTTATACTTCAAATTTTATAAACGACGGTTTATATTAAATCCTACTAAAAGGTGAAACTGGGATGTTACAATTATTTTTTACAACTTTAATTTTATAGTGTTTTTGCATTTTTTTTTCACAATCTATTTATACAAGTATTTTTTTTTCTTTATTTTCATGTTTTTCAGTTACAACTTCCTTTTTTCTTTGTTTTTATATATTTTTTTTCATAATATGTTTTTAGAACTTTAAATATTTGTTTTGTCAATTAAGTGTCAATATTGAACTATAGAATTATTAACTGAAATGATAATAGTAGAATTATTAGTTTCCCATGCATCCATTAACCTTGCATAATTAGCAACTTTCTTATATGAATGTTTACCTGTTATAACAGGCAATCTAAGTATTTTGGATTTGTGAGGAAGAAGATGATTAAGGTAATGAAGTTGTGCTTGTCAATTGTTGAAGCCCTATTTTGCTAATATATAGTTTTTTTAATCATTGTTACTAATAGTCATGTTACTTGGTATGTTTTTTTGTTGCAAATTAAAAGGGTTTTTATGTAGAAAAATCCTAATATTTTGAGAAATTTTTTGATAAAATCAAAAATATTTTTTTAACATAAAAAATCTCAATATTTTGGGAAAATCATATAATCTTTTAAATAAAAAATAATTTTTTTTGTTAATTTGGATAAAATATTAAATATTCGAGACTTTTTTGTTAAAAAAGACGTTTAGAATTTTATAACAATTTTTTTTAAAAATAATACTGACTTTTCTACATAAAACCCCATATTAAAACTTATATTTTTGCATTTTCAGTAAATTGTTTCATTATTTATCTAGGTTTATGAGTGCAACTTATTTGTCTAGGTTGATGTATGGAATATGTTTAGGTCTAGATTGATGTGGTAAGATGTTTACTATGTTTAATGGTATAATGTGCTTGGTTATAAAAAAAATACTATCTTTATTGAGCAACTATTTATATCCATACTTTTTCGAATTTGATTTACTAATGAATTTACAGAATTTGATTTACTAATGAAAAACCGATTTATAAAAACAATTTAAATTCGTTTAATTGGATCAAACTGATCAAACGACCCACTAAACCCTAAAATAAATAACAACGATCGTGGGACCAAAATTGTAGTTTACTTTGAAATTAGCCTACAACGACATTAATCTTGAAAAAGGGGCTTCTCGTTTCACACTATTCATGGCGTCGTCGGTGAAGCGGGAACGCTCTTTAGCAGACAAAAACCCTTCGTCGGGGAAGAAATCAAGAGTCAATTACGGTGATCATTCGCTAGTCGGATCTTCGCTACACCCGATCACCAAGCATCGAGTCGTTCTTAACCCTGCAGATTGTGATCTAGGTATATAATAATATCTCATCAATTTACACTATCATCTCCCGCTTTTCTCTTAATTTAAAATCTTAGGTTGAAAACTTTATCATAGGACAACCGATTTCCATTGTTTTTCCTCGAATATGATTTCTCCTGCGTGTGCGTGTTTGGTTGAACTAATTTTGTGGTAGGCTTTCCGATTCTCTTGATCTGGTGTCGGATTTAGTTAAATAAACCAGTAAGGTTAAGCCATTGCTCACGAATTAGCTTTGTTCCAAATCAATACGTAAGAATGTCGCATTATCACCTCACTGAAACATATTTATGTTATATATCTGTTTAACATAGTTCTAGGTTCTATTTTCTTGAGCATAAACCCAACTGAAATTCATACATAAAATCGATACGCATTTTACAAGAAGATCCCCTGAACTTAATTGAAGTTACAGATAGCTTGAAAATATCCATCAAAAGCTCAAACAACTCAAAATGCCTATAAGAATTGTGTTCAATTAAGCAAGCTTGATTCACTCACAGATTACTTGTTCTTTAACACAACTAATGTTTCCAACCATATCATCAATTCCATCATCTGATCATCTTACCTCAATTTCTTGATGTAATTCTACCAGATTTCAATATTGAAGGAAATGGTCTTAAAGGCTCAGCACTTTATGAGAACGGATTCGCTTATTGCTGGTCCGGGGCCCGCGCCACCATAGGCATAACCAGAGGAAAGTATTGCTTTAGTTGCAAAATAGTCTCAAACCAACCCGTTGAAATTGACGAAACTACCCTTGACCAAAAACACCTCTGTCGTGTAGGCATCTCTAATGCAAACAACAAAGTAGGAAACTTAGGGGAAACCGAGCACAGTTTCGGGTTTGGTGGAACAGGAAAGTTTTCTAATTTTGGAAAGTTTTCATCTTATGGAGAAAGATTCAATATTGGAGACACAATTCTTTGTGCAGTAGATATGGAAAGTAAACCGATGTGTAGTATTGGATTTGCCAAGAATGGAAAGTGGTTAGGGATCGCAGGGTATTTTAATGGAGGAGGGGTAGAATCGTACTTTCCACATGTGTTGTTGAAAAACGTTGTGGTTGAGATGCAGTTTGGTTATGATGATGGTTTGATTCCATTACATGGGTATAGACCATGGGCATGTGCTTTTGAAGATGGAAATGGATTGGTGGGACCCACGTTTTCTAATGTGTGTGATTGTGAATTGATTATGATGGTTGGGTTGCCTTCTTCTGGGAAGACAACTTGGGCTGAAAAATGGGCAAATGATCACCCTGATAAAAGTTATATTCTTCTTGGAACAAATTTGGCTCTTGATCAAATGAAGGTGCTTATTTTATGTTTGAAATAGCAATGTACTTTTGTTTGTTTGTATGTTATAGCATCCTACTTTCATTTCTTTTTATTACAAAATTATGGTTTTAATTCTTTTTTTTTTTAATTAATACGTTGAAAAATCTTCCCAATTTATAGCAATGGAAATCTTTTCTTTCTTCTTTCTACTCTAATAAAAGAGTACATTTTGCCAAAAGTGAATACCATTTCACTTGGAAGTTAAATTACCAAATTACCCTTTATGTTTATTTAAATTCTTGGTTTTCCTTGAAATTAGCTACTCATTGACATTGCTATAATCAGGTAGATTTTTCAAAATACAATGTTGTAATAAGAAGAAACGAAAGTGAGATATTTTAAGAATCAAATCAATGAAATTGCATTGCTATTTCTTGCATAAGTATATTTTGCTCAAATATCAATAAATGTTTTCTTTATCTTATATGACCTTTTAACTTTTTTGATAACTTTAAGGTTCCTGGTTTACTTCGGAAGCAAAACTATGGGAAGAGGTTTGATCACTTAATGGAGCATGCAACTGATATATTTAATACCTTGTTAACAAGGGCTTCCAAAACACCAAGAAATTTCATTATAGATCAAACAAATGTCTACAAAAGTGCTCGAAAGCGCAAATTGAAGCCTTTTGCTAATTTTCAAAAGGTATGCATGCATCATATGTTCATGATTTCTAGGGTTAAATTAAAGAATGTAGTTTTGTTTGTTTGTTTATTCTAGCATCCTACTTTCGTTTCTTTAAAAAATTCTACTCAATAATAGCAATGTCACCAAATATAAACAATTTTTGTAACTACTCTAATTGGTTTTATTTTTTTTAAAGTATAAAAATAAATGAAAGTACATTGTTATGTCTTCTAATCATATCCCAAATAAAGGTTAAATATAAGAAATATTAATGATTTACTTATCATAATACGTTACTTTTAGTTTTTCATAACAATATTGTACTTAGAAAAATCTATGCAAATTGGGTAAGATTTTTTGAAGTGCAATGCTTAATATAGAAAAAAAAAGTTGAAAGTTCAATGAAAATAAGATGCTATAAATATAATACACAAATAAACAAAAGTACATTGCTAATTCTTGCATTTAGCCTTAATTTATGTATCATATATGCTCTTTTTGGAAGCGTTTTGTTTCTATAACTTTTGATCTTAATTATAAAATGGGATGAATTTAGATTGCAGTTGTGGTTTTTCCAAGGATGGAAGAACTTAAAGCTCGCAGTGAGAAAAGTTTTAGAGAATTGGGAAAGGAAGTTCCTGTTGAAGCTGTTAATCAAATGCTAGGTATTATTTTTATTAATTTTTTTTTTATTATTATTATCATCACTACTATTATTGATCATAAATTCATAATTAATTATACCACAAGCTGATTGCTTTCTGTTTTGTGCTACTTGCAGCCAATTTTGTTTTGCCTAAGACCAAGGATATGCATGGAACTGATGAGTATTTTGATCAGGTGTTTTTTTTTTTTTTTTTTTTCTATTTAGTTCTAATTAATGAGTTTGTTTATTTAAAATGAAATATTGAAAATAATAAAGCTTACTCTTTTCATATTACAGGTCATATACATAGAACTCAACATGATGGAATCAAACAGATGCTTAGATGAAATGAAAGCAAAACTACAATCCACCACTACCATCTCTCCTTATTCTTCTCATAAAAGCAGCAATCCTGTAAGCAGCTACCCACAGGAGCATGTCATGCAGCCTCACCGACTCTCAACACATCAAAATCCTCTTCAAAGTCGTAATCAAGGTTGATTATCTTCCTCTCATTTGCAATTACAGCTTTCTACTTTCAACTTTTTTTTTGCTTTTCTTATGTGGAAAGATTGTATTTTGTTAATTCCGTAAATACCCTTGGTTGTTTTGCATTTTATTCAGTGAAATAAATTTCATAAATCAATTTTCAGGAGGATCTTATTCGTATCCATCTCAAACTGCATTGCCTAATAGGGGAAGCAACAACAGATTTGTACCTAGAGATGATCTGAATCACCGCCGTAGTTACAGTGGGTATGAGCACAGAGCATCATCCGCCCCCATGGGTATGGGTATTTCCGTCTTTTCTCAAAAAAACTCATACCACCATACGTCCACTCCCACCCATGAAACCATGGATATATCTCCTCGCTACTCTACCCCACACCTCAACTAAATCCTGAGGAGGAGGATTCTTAATACTATTAGTTAACTCTAACTCTTAATTATTACTTGGTTATGATATTGATATGAATATGATGATTGATGAGATGTAGTTTTTACATTGATGATCCGTATGTATGTATGTATGTATGTATGTATGTATGAGATGGTAATGGTTTTTTAGCTTAATATTAAATCCTAGTTGGTATATATTGATGAGATGTATTTTTTACTCTAAGATTTAACGAATTATTTGCAAGAAAAAGTAATAACGGATGATGGACGGGTCTTTTGGTTTGAGTTGACCTCTCTTGGATTTGTAAAATTATAAAAATTAGTTAAAAAAACAAAAACGAGCTCAATCTTTGTCTCTTTGGTAATAGGACTGGACACAACATGCCCACTAGACTCACATGTTAAAACTTGAATAAAATAAATTTTTTATCAAGTCAAATGGAATAAAGTCAATTTTAGTCACACCCTTTTAATTAGTTGTAACAGAAGGCATAATAATAATAATAATAATAATAATAATATAAAACTAAGGGGTGTATTTCCATCACTCTATTTCCATGGTTGGCGGCCATGGTGGTTTCTCACGAATTTCGGCCAACAGAAAACATATACACACATCCCGACTAACAACATCACACAAACCTTCGTGAATCCACTGAAACACATACCGAACACAGCCGCCCTCGAGGCAGCAGGCGGCGGCCGGAGAACCTTGACAAAACGAACCAACTGCAAGGCGGCGATGACGACAGCGAGCCATAACGACGGACAGTGTAATTCCTTGGCGGTCATTGTGTGATACCGACGACGTGAAAGATGGCGAACAAAATGAACAGAAAAAGAAGAAGGGTGAGGCATGTCCAAGCATATATATCCACAACTTAACATCAGTTAAAATTAAGATTAACAGAAATAAACGATAAATAAGATATTAAATATTAAATTCACGAAAGAAATACCATAAAAAACTATATCAAAAATGTATCATAAGATCTACAATAGATATAAGAAAAAACAAATAGAAAACATAACTTCCACATAGATTTCAAAATTTTAATTCACAGTTTAAAATGCAGCATTCACATTATTATAACTTATACAAGTTAATATGATAGAATTTTATATTTTATTAATTGGTAAACAAGTTAATATGATATATTTTTTAACGAGACTATGTTCGATTTTTACTACCATAATTGATTTTTACTATCCTAGTCCAACTTAATAGAAGTTTTACTATCATTATTGTGCGGACAGATTTTTTAACATACGATTAGAAAAAAATAAAAATTATCTTACTTTGATTATGTTCGTTTCATTTACGTAAAAGCAATTTTCCTATTTGGCATTGAAATATCTTGAAAAACATAGATATGTGAATACACAATTTTAATGTCAAAATGAAAATTACATCAAATTTAAAAAATTAAAAACAACTTAGTGTTTATCAGTGGCGGGCGCATACTATTTTAGTAGGGGTGTCCATCATACTTCAAGCGCTTGCATCTAATAGAAAAAAAAAAAATTACACTACGAGCTGGAAATTGAGCAATGACCCAGGACCCCCAATTCTTCACATAGGTCCGCCACTGATGTTTAACATAAAAACTATTATTATAGCTATTTAGATACATTAAATAATATTTAAAATATAAAAAAATGACAAGTAAAAACAAATCGTTTAAAGGATTATTAATAATAAGGCAGATAAATTGTAATATTGTCATGTCATTGTAGTGATTTACTTGTAACAAATAATATCTTTCTATACTAATAAAAAAGTAATCTTTTGCCATGTGTCACCATATTAGATATTGTAATAAATATCATGATACTTGTAATTAATATTATTACACTTATCAATCTATTAATTCTCCATTTTAAATTTCAAATTTCAAATTTCAAAATTTAAATCACATTTTAATTACATTAAATTAATAATATTAGAATAAAAATAAAATAAATTTATACAAATTATAATAAAATAAAATTTATACAAATCATAAGATGATATATTTTACGTATTTATTTGAATCAATGATTATAATTTTATATATAACTAAAAAAATATCTTTTAATTAATAAGTTATTTAAAATTATTAATTAATAGTTTTGAGTTTTTACTTAGAAAGTTTAATTAATTTTTTTAACCGTGATTGTCACAGGTTATAAACTAATTTATATAATAAAAAAGTAATAAAAATAATAGAAAGATATTTGTTCGATTTTTACTACCATAATTGATTTTTACTATCCTAGTCCAACTTAATAGAAGTTTTACTATCATTAATGTGCGGACATATTTTTTAACATACGATTAGAAAAAAAATATAAATTATCTTACTTTGATTATGTTCGTTTCATTTACGTAAAAGCAATTTTCCTATTAGGCATTGAAATATCTTGAAAAAGATAGATATATGAATACACAATTTTAATGTCAAAATGAAAATTACAACAAATTTAAAAAATTAAAACAACTTAATAAATTAGTGTAATGTTTAACATAAAAACTATTATTATAGTTATTTAGATATATTACATAATGTTTAAAATACAAAAAAATGACTAAGTAAAAACATATCATTTAAAGGATTATTAATAATAAGACAGATAAATTGTAGTATTGTATAGTCTTAGTTCTCAGCTCTATTGCCTACCTAACATCTCCTCATTATTCTTTTAAATTTTTTGTTTGCTAGCGCCGTACCTAGGGCTATTCATTTATTTCGTTTTTTTTTTTTTTTTTTTTTTTTTTTTTTTTTTTTTTAATTATTATTATTTTTTTCTAATTAAAACATTAGGTCTAAAATTTTGGTTGAATTATTTGTGTTTGAAGATAATTTGTTTGCCAAATTTCAATTACACGTCGAAAACCACTTTAGTTCTTTATGGTAGTAAAAATCGAGTAATTTTTATTTAATAATTATGTATTAAACTTATATGAATAATAAAGTAATAAATATTTTCGATAGTTTATTTTTATTTTTATTTGATGTTTCTTTTTGAAACATACATAGTTTAATTTTTTCCATTGGAAAAGTTTTTTGGGACTGCATTCACTGTTTAATATAATATTTCAGAATTCTCACACATTTTAATAAAATAAATTTATAGTTAAATATAAAAAGATATGGAGACTAGTGTTTTTTTAACTCATAAAATTATACATTCATAGTTTAAAACTTATATTTTCTTATTGAAGAAAATCATCAAATAGTTCACATCAGATTTGTCAAATCTACTTTAAATAAACGATCATTCAAAAAGTTCTCTTAACATGATGATTGCCTAGATCTGAACGAAGACAAATGTCTTTGGTACTGTAAGGTGGGTAGAGCACATGTGTAATGACCAAAATTTCAAAATAATTAAAACTTTTCAAAAACAACCCGTTTTAATAACGTTGTTACAAAAAGGTTTTCAATACATTATTTAACAGAGTATTCCCCAAGTCCATTTTTTTGGAAAGGGAACTTCCCTAACGAGGGTGTCCGGGCCAGCTTTCCCGCACCGACTAATCCCCCGCTGCAAACATAAAGTTTTCCCCAAGTCCATTTCATAAAACACCAACGCGAGGAAGGGTACGATCACGCCTTTGCCTTGCTACAGACTCCTGAGAACCTGAAAACATAAAAACCACAACTGTAAGCCCGAAAGCTTAGTGAGATACCCCCAAAATACCAACCACGTATGCGCCCTTCCAGGCCACAACCTTCCGGTCCAAAACATATCGCCTTCCGGCCCATAGCGTAATGCCTTCCGGCCCATAACATATCGCCTTCCGGCCCGCAACATAAAAGCATATATATCATGACAGAACATAGAACAACCATGCATACCGGGTTACACTCCAGACCAGACAACCATACACATAACATGTAATCATATAACATTTCACAGTTAGCAAATCGATCAACAGATCACATAACATATCATTACCCTAACCAAGATACCAGCCTAGCCGATCACTAGCATAACATCACCCTACGACTCAGCCAACATAATAATTATGCACATACGCCTTTCCAGGCCATGACCTTCCGGTCCACATCGCATTGCCTTCCGACCCGCAACATGTAATGCCTTCCGGCCCATAACGTAACGCCTTCCGGCCCATATCCCGCAATATCATACAACAGACAATTACCTGGATTTCCATACGATAAAAGGGTCGGCCTTGGTGCCTTAAACCCGATAGATATAGTGAGGATAACTCACCTTGAAACTGCCGACTGAACAGATAACTCAAGCTGCTCCGATCACTGATACGATCTCCACCACTGGATAGCCACCAATGCACTGAACTCAAAACCATAATCAACAATTACCAAAGTACCCCTGGAAACCACTGGTTAACCCTTGGTCAAATACTAGGTCAAGGTCAACCCCTGACTGACCTTACTCGCCGAGTCAACCCTATGACTCGCCGAGTTCCCATACTCAAAACTTCACTCAACCCGCGACCTAACTCGCCGAGTCACCCCGAGACTCGCCGAGTCCAACAACTCTGAGTCCACTCGCGCACAACTCACCCGAGTCATCACTTGACTCGCCGGTTCTCGACTCAACCATAAAATATTTGGACTTCTTCGACAAGACTCGCCGAGTCCAAAAACAGACTCGCCGAGTCTAAGGCTATCATCAACCTACCCGTCGAGTTGTTCATACAACTCGCCGAGTTTCAGGCCATCTTCATCCAACTCGCCGAGTTGTTCTTCCAACTCGTCGAGTCTCAACTCATCTTCAAGCAACTCGTCGAGTCCACCCATGTGACTCGCCAAGTACCACCGGTCTGAATCCATACAGAAGCGTTCCAGACCATGCAATTGATCCAAAACATAGATCTAGCCTCCTACCACTCATTCATCACGTAAAGTGGCAAACTTTACGTGAATCTAAAGAGATCTATGCATATTGCACTTTAGGGCTAAGGTTTGGGACAAGATAGCTTCATCCAACACTCAACACAGGGACTTTCCTGCATTCCAACTCTCCTCCATTCCAGATCTGAGGTAGCAACCTCAGATCTAACCTCTAGATTCCAATATCACCCAAGATAAGCTTCCCTCAAACCCCAAAATGAAGAGACAAGATAACAACAGCCTAAGAACGAGATATTACCTCAAACGAACGCCCCAATCTGCAAGGAACTCGAATCCAAGCAAAGCCCCTTGCTCCACACCTTCAAATTCCCAAACTTTCTTCAATAATTACTTCCCCAAGCTCCAATCCACTCAACAATGGTGCTTCTCCACGATTTTAGGGTTTCAGGGACTCAAAGGGGGGATAAAGAGGCTGGGGAGGAAACATAATGCTCTTTATATAGGGCTCAACCCCGAGAATTAGGGTTTTCTCCACTCAGCGCCTACACGCCGAGTCCATCTAATGACTCCCCGAGTCGGCTATTTAACACGCGACCAAGTCGCGACTCTACTCGCCGATTCCATCCATGGACTCACCGAGTCACTCTTCCCAAATTACACTTGTAGCCCCTTCAACTCAACTCTTGCTATTTCGGGATGTTACAACATGTGGTAGAACAACAACGTGGTGGTGGTCGGAGATGAAGAATGTGGCTGGAGGTGGTCGGAGACGAAGCAGATCAGGATGGAGACAGTTGTGGTAGATCCTCGTCGCTCACCAAAGCTGGTAGATGAGTAGATCTAGCCTTGTTGTTCGCCGAAGCTTGTAAATCTAGTCTCATCAGTCGTTAGAAGTTGTAGATCCGACCTCTGGTGTGTCGAACGACTATAGATCAGGTTCCACCAACCACCAGTACAAGGTGATTTTCATCACATCTTATCAGATCTGACCACAAAACATCAGATCGATGATTGTTTTTCACGATGGAAGCAGCAGTCCTAGTGATGGTGGTTCACGATAGATGTGGAGGAGATAGTTTAGTCTTCAAATCTAATGGCGGAGAGTGGTGACGGACCAAATCCGAGTGAATGTAAAAGTATTTGTGGATCTTCGTTGGAGCAAATCTGAAGCAACAATGGTGATCTAGTGGTGTCTGACAGCAGTGTTTTACAGGAGGTGGGAGAGCAACAAAATTGGACCATATCCTCCATAAAGGAGGACACTATAGTGGCGGTGGTAGAGCCGGCGACGACGGAGACGCCGGAGAAAAGAGGCATAAAAGGTTGCAAAGTTCTTTACTTTGAAAGAGAAAATAGAAGTTACGTTTCTTAATCTAAGAGAAAACCGACCAGAAAGTTGTGAGATTATACTTTTAATTGTAAATTAAAAATAATGGTTCTTAGGTTCTTAATTTTTTTTTGTTCTCATTTAAACTTTTATATATATATATATATATATATATATATATATATATATATATATATATATATATATATATATATATATATATATATATATATATATATATATATATATATATATATATATATATATATATATCGTTTATATCTTTAATACCATTTAAGTTTTATCAATCTTCAAATACAACATTTTATTGCAATCGAACATAAACAAACGACATATTAATAAAAAAATTGTATTTGAATGTCATTTTTTACTTTATTATAATGTAACTTTTAAGCATGTAATCTCGATAAAATATATCATTTTTTTAATCTCACCATAACATTAATATAACACATCCGTTGTGTTTTATGATCAGATATATTACACAAAATATCATATCATCAAAAATTAATTATACTATTGTTTAATCTCTTTCGTTGACAAAGACGTGTTTATAAAAGTCTTTGATAACGATATGAAAAATGACATAAAAACATATGTAAATCTTAAATTGTAACATATTTTAATAACATAATTGCTATTATGTGCAACATGCGGAGATTCACGTAGTTACAAATGTCTTTATTATAGTTAAACAAAGAGATGACATTTGTTGTTAGTTTTTAGGAATATAATGATGAACTAAGTACGCCTCTATTGTTTGTTGACCACTTCAAACTCTCAAAGTTCCTCCTATGTATCGTTGTGGGTGTCATAATAAGATGTATTTTGTGAATGTTCCTCTGATGTTGGTGTTCATTTTATGTTTTTTAACCTAACTACGACTCAATATCCATAGATCACCTGGTAACAACAATCGACTAACACATATATCGAATGTGAAAAGTGAACCATGAATGATAGTTTATATGGAAACAAGTGAATGATGCTTATCTATTTAATTTTCATTCATAGTTTACTTTTTACTCCTGATAGATATGTGTATTTCGATGGTTCTTACCAAGTAATACATGGAGGTTGGATAATAGTTAGGTTAAAGAACATAATGAAAGATCTATATGTTCAAGAATTATCATGTAATGATATTTTTAATAACATGTCGCATGTGATCCTATAGCATCACATTTTATAGTAAGTAGATATTTATTGATTATTTATTAAGTAATTTATATTTAATTGGAGAAACATACATAGTATATCTCACAATGATACCCACAGCGATTCATATGAGAAACGTAAAGAGTTTGAAGTGGTAAACAAACAATAGAAGAAATCTTAGTCCATCATTCTATTTTTAAAAATTAGCAACAAATTTATTTTCTTAGTTTATAATAAAAAAAATATTTGTTATGTTTATAAATAATTTGTTAATAACAATATCTATTAATTTAATGGTAATCTTAAAAAAAAATCTAAATATTTTGGTTATTAGATAATTTTTTAAAAAAATCTCAATATTTTGACAAAAATAACGAAAAATAACAAAATATCGGTTAAATCTATAAAAACAGCCAAAAAATGTTTTTTTTCCGAATTTTTAACCGGTATTTTGTGTTCTTCTATTAACAAAATTTAGTTTTGAGATTTTTTATAAATTGAACTGAAAGTATTAGAATTTTTCTACGCAGATTTCTTTTATAAATACCAAATTAATATATTTTTGAGATTGAGCTCGTTAAAATTCTTATTAGAAACACTTTATTATACATCTTTTTAACCTAGCCCTAACTTTTTTCTGAAGATTTCTAAAAATTATAATAAAATTGATTATTAAATTTGAGACGTCTCTTCCGAGAATATAAAGTAGACCCGGTGATATTTGTATAACTTTTCACCTTTGACAAAGGGTTAGTCAAATCAAAGTTAAATAATAATTTTCAATTTTCAACGAAAAAAGTGCTGAACACGTGCCACGTCCCGACACCTAACTGACGGCCGAAACATTGCTCCTCCGGAAATCCTGGTGACAGCCAAAATCTTGCTTTCCAAGTCATCTAGAACATTCGCGTTCTCCCAACGCCAAAAAGTAAAAACTCCCTAAAACCCTCACCATTTTTCATTCCCCTCCCATATTTTTGGCAACTATCTTACATCTTTTCTCTCTCTAAAAAGTAAGAACTTCGTTGATGTTTGATTATGTATATGATGAATATGACGAATGACTTATCAACTATCATCGATGTTTGATCCATATTGCTGTTATTGATGTTGTTTTGCAGATCTGAATTCTGAGTTTTTGCTATATTTGGAGCAAAAATGAAGAGTTCGAATATCTACGAGAGGTTTTCTCAAACGTTTCGTCAACATCCTTCTCTCTCGAGATTTCTCGTGGTTTTCGCCGTCAGGTAACACCAATGCTTGTTTGTTTGTTTTTTTTTTTTTTTTTAAATGAACGAACTTCAATCTGATTGTTGTGAATGCTGCTTTATTTGGTTAAACGTTGATTTGAAGTCGATTAGATCTGGATTCGGTTTGAAGTATATGTGATGTTCATACTTCATAAGATGTAACGTTTTGGAAATTTTAACCGAGTTTTGAGATGTATTATCGATTACAGCAAATCTTCAGAATCATGTGGTGGTTTTTATCAATTTCTGTAGAGGTTGATTTGATCTTGCAGGTGGTTAGTTTAGGTTGATGGCTCCTTTGAATGGTTAATTCTGTTTAATGTGTTTAAGATTGATGGCTCCTGTTAGTTCTGATTGTTTTGTAAAGGAACACGAGGCAAAATATATGTGGAACAAATTAAACATCTAACAGGATTCAAGGAAGCAATTATCAAGTACTGGCATCATATAAGATTGAATCATCAAAGTAAAAAAAACTTACTTGATGATAATACTGATTTAGGATTCAAGTTTGATACGAAACCATTATGTAAGAAAGAGTCAAACTTGAGGAATTGATGCCGATAATATAATGGAAGGGTTCTCTAATGTACATTATGGTGTTCTTGAAGGAAAATTTCTTAATTAACAACTCCCAAGAAACAGACCACAATCTACTATATAATTTAGTTAGTTAACAGCTTTTGTGATGATTAAACCTATAAAAGTCAGAAAAGTTTAAAAAAAAAAAAAAATCATTTTGGCCATTCTTCTCTTTCCAGATCTGACTTTTTTCTTCAAGGGATAACATCCCCTCCCTTTCCTTGATTTAAGGAGTATGTGATAAATTTGCTAGATGATTACCTTTTGCTTGTTTTCTACAGCAGCAAAAACCCACTTTTGTTCACTCATCTCCCCTGTTTTCTCTTGTTTTCTTTAGGAACATACTTTCAGTTAATCATTCATTATAATTTATAACATCCTATTCTCATTTCTTTCTGTTACAACAATGAACATCCATTTTTTTCTTTATCTATAAAACTCTACTTTCTTTGATTTGTTTATTATGTACACAAACTTATAGCTTTTCATATATGTAACTTTGTAGTGGTGGAGGTCTTGTGGCTTATTCAGAGGGAAACATATTAAGTAGTAGTCCAAAGATTGATGAATTACCCGAGGCAGGTAACAAGAAAAAGAGGGTAGTGGTACTTGGAACTGGTTGGGCTGGAACAAGTTTCTTGAAAAATTTGAAGAATTCTTCATACGATGTCCAAGTGGTTTCACCTAGAAATTACTTTGCTTTCACACCCTTACTACCAAGTGTCACAGTTGGCACTGTGGAAGCTAGAAGCGTTGTGGAACCCATTCGCAACATTGTCAAAAAGGTAATTGAATTTGTTGTATGTGGTTTTTGCAAAAGACGTAAATACCCCTCTCATCATCATCATCTAAAATAGCCCTAGAAAGTTTTTCCACTTCCTTCCAGTCGAGTCCATTCCTATTGTGTTGCGGTTGGACAAAAAGTTTCTAGGGCTATTTTCGTCTTTTTGATGACATGGATGAAAATGGGCATTTATGTCTTTTTTCACAGACCAGTTTTCAAGAGCAAGTTTATGTTCTATGTATTTGGGTGGGATAAAGAAAATTGAAAATTTTGTACCATTGACATCCATATGAAAATTTCCAGGGCTATTTTCGTCTTTTTGATGACGAGGATAAGAATGGGCATTTATATCTTTTTTCACAAACGAGTTTCAAGAGCTAGTTTATGTTCCACCTTTTTTTGGAGGAATAAAGAAAAATTGAAAATTTTGTCACATTGACATCAATATGAAAATTTCTAGGGCTATTTTCGTCTTTTTGATGACGAGGATGAGAATGGGCATTTATGTCTTTTTTCACAAACTAGTTTCAAGAGCAAGTTTATGTTCCATCTTTTTTGGAGGAATAAAGAAAATTGAAAATTTTGTCCCATTGACATCAATATGAAAATTTCTAGGGCTATTTTCGTCTTTTTGATGATGAGGATGAGAAAGGGAATTTATGTGAGATTTCAAGAGAACGTTTATGTTCTATCTTTTTGGGTGGGGTTAAGAAAATTTAAAATTTGAAATTTTGTTCCATTGATTAATATATATAATATTTGCGACTTATTGGGAACTGATTAATGACTGTTTTAATACGTAACAGAAGAATGTAAATGTTAATTTCTTGGAAGCTGAATGTTACAAGATTGATGCAAAAAACAAGAAAGTATATTGTCGTTCAACTCAAGATGAGAAAGAAGAATTCATTGTTGATTATGATTACCTTGTTGTTGCCATGGGAGCACGTGTTAATACCTTCAACACTCCTGGTGTAGAAGAAAACTGCCTCTACTTAAAGGTAACTCTTTCTTGCTCATCTTAATATCTTATTGTTAGGTAGATCTTTTATTTTTCATATTTACAACTAATCAAATTCATTTATTATTATTATTATTATTATTATAATTACTTTGTGTTACTTCAGGAAGTTGAAGATGCTCTGAAGATCCGGAGGAGTGTAATCGATTGCTTTGAAAAAGCAAGCCTACCAAACGTAAGTGAAGATGAGAGAAAAAGGATGCTTCAGTTTGTTGTTGTTGGTGGTGGGCCCACCGGTGTTGAGTTTGCAGCTGAGCTTCATGATTTTGTGTCCGAGGATTTGGTGAGATTGTATCCAGCTGTTAAAGATTTCGTCAAAATATCGCTTCTTGAAGCAACCGACCATATTCTCAACATGTAACTAAACCTTTTCTACACTTGTTATATGCTACAAACCAGAGATACGTAACATTAATTATTCCACTTTTTTGGTTGTAGGTTTGACAAAAGAATTACAGCTTTCGCAGAAGAAAAGTTTCATAGAGATGGTATCGATTTGAGAACAGGATCAATGGTGGTGAAGGTGACAGATAAAGAAATTTCAACAAAAGAAATCAAAACTGGAAAAATCTCTTCCATACCCTACGGGATGGCTGTCTGGTCAACAGGTATTGCAACTCGCCCTGTTGTCATGGATTTCATGAAGCAAATCGGTCAGGTTTGTATTTTTCTCTTTGACAAAATTAGGTTGTATTGACTATTGTCCATTGCTTCACATTTTTAATAAGATGCTTTTTTTTTTTTTTTTGTTGTTTAGGCAAATCGACGTGTATTAGCAACTGATGAATGGCTTAGAGTTGAAGGAACCAACAGCATATATGCTCTAGGCGATTGTGCCACAATCAACCAACGCAAAGTCATGGTACCTTTTTTATAAAACAAAATAAATTCAATAGGATCCCATAAACATCAGAATTACATTTGATTTTGCAGGAGGATATTTCGTCTATATTTAAAAAGGCTGACAAGGACAACTCTGGAACCCTTACAGTTAAAGAATTTCAAGAAGCCCTTGATGACATCTGTGACAGGTATATGTAGTTAAAATGTAATCAAGTATTTTACAAAAATACATACGTTTTCGATTTAAGTAATGAATAACGTTTTACAATACTATCTATCAGGTATCCTCAAGTGCAACTTTATCTAAAGAACAAGAAAATGAGCAATCTTGTTGATTTACTAAAGGAATCCAAGGGCGATGTTGCAAAAGAATCAATTGCACTCAATGTTGAAGAATTTAAATCCGCTCTATCTCAAGTTGATTCTCAAATGAAGAATCTTCCCGCAACCGCCCAGGTAAAACCATTATCTTAACTTACCAGGTACCAACTAACTTATCAGTTATCAGATGGAAAATGTAAAATGACATCAAATGACTTTAATGCTCTCACCAAATGTTTCACTAAACGCAACCTTAAGTGTTTATCTATTTGTTGTTTTCTCAAATATTTTATAAACATCATTTATCCAGAGACAACACTTAATGATAATTGGTTTGCAGGTTGCAGCTCAGCAAGGGTCATACCTTGCGGATTGCTTTAACCGCATGGACGAGTGCGAGAAACATCCGGAAGGTCCTCTCCGTTTCCGAGAGTCGGGACGCCATCGGTTTCGTCCGTTCAGGCACAAATTCAATTTTAATTTTAAAAAAATATATACATATACATATACATATTGTTTTAGCAGAAATATAATATGATGTGAATTTATTGGTTGTTTGTGTAGATACAAGCACCTTGGCCAATTTGCTCCATTAGGAGGAGAACAAACAGCAGCGCAACTCCCTGGGGATTGGGTTTCCATTGGCCACAGCACTCAGTGGCTCTGGTATTCTGTCTATGCAAGGTTAGTATTATAATTAATTGATTACTAGGAATTATTTATGTTATTTTAATTTTATTTTGTATTTGAAATTTGAAATTGAACAGCAAGCAAGTGAGTTGGCGTACAAGGTCGCTAGTGGTGTCCGATTGGATGAGACGCTTCATATTCGGCCGAGACTCAAGTCAAATATAATACCATACCAAACACATCGTAGAGTTCTTCCAATTTTGTACGCCGATTTATTATTATTATTTTTTTTGTTTACAGAAAATCATAATTCTTCTTCATCTATTGTTACCTTTTTGCTTTTTTTTTGGTTAAATAATGGAAACAATGTTTTCCTGGCATACACTTATTTTCTTTTTACCTGAGATGTTTTATTCCAAATACAATTATACAAATAACTACCTTTGTTATGCTTACATGCTATTGTCGCTTGTACTTGTTGTTTATTGACTTGTAATGTTTTGACCAAGTCAAAGTGGAGTGAAGATTGCATGTTTTATCATGTGGCGTAATAATATTCGGCCATAACTGGTTTGCCTGTACCTTCTCAATCCTCATGTAAAAGATTAATTTTCATCAAATTCAAAACATAACTAATAAATAGTTTAATTAATATAAGAGCCCAAGTAAAAAAAATGTAGAAAGAATATTAGTTGATTTTGGTAACTATTATTTCTTAGTTAAAAAGTTGTATTAAAATTTATTTTTATTTATGTGATTTTTAAGTAATACTTAATATTTTACTATTTCTGAAAAGGTTGAATACAAAAAACTTGTAGTATAATCTAATAAGGTTTTGTTATATATTAGCTTTTTATGCTTTAAGGAAAAATGATTAGTTATAACTTATAATTGATATACGAATTAAATTAAAAAATTATATGGTTCAATTGCTCGTCCCATTTAGTTACTTTTTTATTCTATCAACCCATGCAAACCATTACTTGTGGCATGTGGAATCGAATGTTGTACACATTAGTCACACTTCAGTTGCTGTGATGGGATGTCTTATCGTACATCTCTCTCTCTCTCTTTCTCTATATATAAACTCTGTCTATGTGATGATATTTCTCATTGTGGTTCTACCTATGGGAACAATAGAGGAGGAGGTCTCTGGCGGCAGCCATGGTGGTAGTGCTTTCAACAACGTAACAAACAACCATGGTGGTGGTGGTGGCAAGGGACGAAAAACATTGAAACTATCACATACCAACTTCTTGAGCAAACTATACAAAATGGTCGATAATAAAGCTACCAACTCCATCATATCATGGGGCTCATCTTCTAACACCTTCATCATCTCCGATGAAGGACGATTTATATCAGAGATTCTCCCTTGCTATTTCCAAATTAATCATCTTGATAACTTCACTTATCAACTTAATAACTATGTTAGTATTTCTTTCCTTACTACAATGACATACATATACATAGATGCATAATCTTTTCAAGTGTAACAGAATAAAAAGAAAAAAACTCAATAGTGGAGACAGATAACAAGAAAACCCAAAAAGAAAGTTACCTATGCTGGTTTTCTTAGATAGATTGAGTAGATTTGATCAAACTTAACATTTATTTTTATTTTTTTCTTTCTTCGTGAGGACAAATAAAAAAGATACCCATTGTCTAGTGTGAGACCATCCTTGTAAACATTTTGAATCGATTTGAATAGTCATGTAGTTGAAACTAACTGTTTAAATTCAATTTGAAAAGGGTTTCAAGAAGAAGGAAAGGGGTCACTTATTGGAGTTCGAGCACGAGTATTTCCAAGAAGGGAATCAACTCTTGCTAAAACACATCAAGAAAAGAAACAAACCACATATGGCCACCAACAACATATCAACACTTAGTGTTGCCACAAACGAGCTTGAAGCCTTATTTGCAAAAGTTAGACATTCTCAAAAACAAATCAAAATGAAAATACATTGGCTTAAAGATGATATAGCAAAAACTTTCTCCGAGGTCAAAAGTATTATTGAAGACAACTCTCATAAACTGATATCAACATTTTTCGAAGGCCGTAAAAGAAAACTTGTTGATTTTAACCTTGGAACTGATTTTGTTGATATCGAGAAAGATTTTGAACTAATGTATGGTCAATGTGAGGCATCGATGGCTCATATCGATGGTTTTATGACCTTGAGTGATTTGACTGAAAAAATTACTAAAAAACACAATGATAATAATAGAGGTAGTGTGGTTGGTGATGATCGACAACGTATACCTCAGTTTTTACAAAAACTGTATGACATGGCACAGAAAGAAGAAACCGATAATCTTGTTTCATGGAACCTACCTAATCGTGATAGTTTCATCATCCGAGATATTAATGAGTTTGCTGCTCAAGTTCTTCCGATGTATTTCAGTCATGCAAATTTTAGTAGCTTCAATTCACAACTTAACATATATGTAAGTCTCAAATTAGAAATCTATACTTTTTTACTTTTAAAATCAAATTTACCCATGTTGGAATACAAATTATATAACAATGTTTTCATAAACACCAACATATTCTTATCCTAGCCATATATTGCACTTTTTTTTTATAAATAAACTTAAGTGTGTTTCTCAAATTCCCCATGAAATGACATTTATACGTATCAGATTTTGAAGATGAAAAGTTATTTTGATGTCATAAGTCATAAGAGAGCATATAAAATCTTTGACGAATTAGTGACATTTTGCAACTGGAAAAGCTTGAGTGCATTTATTTGTAACTTTACTTCCATTTTGATAATGTTTCTTGCACTACAATTACAATGGATTGTTTTCTAACTATTCTTTTCGTTTGTTTCAAAGGGTTTCAGAAAGATCAGTTGGGAACGTCATGAATATGCGAATGAATGGTTTAAAGGAGGAAGATACGATTTGTTAGTGAATATCAAGAGAAGAGGCAAAAATCCACTATTGACTCGCTCAACTATAAAGTTTTCTTTAACACAAGTAGAAATGTTTAAGGACCAATTGAAAGCTATAGAACAAGAGCAAGAGAAGAATATCATATGTCTCTCAAACTATGAAGAACAAATGAAAAGTTCGGTATATGAGTTTAAGGAAAAAGTCATCAACATGGCAAACATTGTCAACAAAATGATACTAACAAGCAATGATAACCCTGAAAACATCAAGAAACCTAAAACGAACATTAAAGACAAAGGTAACCGATATGTTTGGCATTCAAACATATTACATTAATAAATGATCACTTAGATTTTCTCTATTAAGTCGATAATTGCATTAAATTGAAAAAACATCAAATAAACATGATTGATGGTTGTTTCTTTGTGAAAACACGATCTTATAGGTAAAACGGAAGAACATTATTTGAATGTTGATGAATGCACGACATCAATTGATAACAATAAGGCCGAAGCACAAACTTATTTTTTAGATCTTATGGAAGACACTTGGATTGTAGAAAGAGAAATGGAGCCATATTTATCTCTTTATCTTGGAAGAGAGAGTGAGATAGAAAAAAAAGTTTAATCTTGATGATGCTTAATTCGTGTTCATAGAATATGTTAGTCTCACAATATATATGTTTTAAGATGATCATTAGCTTTATGTTTATATTGAATTGTTTTATTCGACATCAAATGTATTACTTATATATATTATAATTGAGTATTTTAGACATAAATATATGTATTGTTTATCATGGATGATTACGTCGACAAATATGATGAGTTCTATTGGCCTCCGTATTCTTATTAAGAGTATATAAGCTGTTGAATGAACGGGTATTTCACTATTTTGTTTTCGTTGTTTTAATATACTATTAAAAGTTATATTTAAATAATTATCAATATATTATTTTATTTATATAATTCTCAAAAAAATAAAGTTTTTTCGAACAATGGGTGATTACTAAAGAAATACTATGAAAATATATGTGTCGCTGGTTTACTCGCCTTAGAAATTGATAAAAAAAAAATTCAATAATATAAGAAAAAAGTTTTTATTGCAAACTACATACAACTTATCATATTTCATTTATTTTTCCGATTAAAATATTATATTTTATATTTTTACTAATTAATAAAACATCATATTTTGAAGAAAAAAAATCATTGCTGACCACTATAACCTTTATTGCCGATTTAACAGATTATCACCGTCATCCAAATTCTATAACTATTTTTTATCTAATTTGACTACAATAACAAATGTTTAGTATTTTTTTTAACGGTGGGTTTTTGTTAAGAAAAGTTGTTAAAAGGATTTTTTTTTTTTTTTTTTTTCAAATGTTTGTAATGTTTAGGGTTGTAATCTGCTATGTTTATTTATAACGTTATAATCTGCTATGTTTATTTATGACGTTATAATAGTAATGAAAGATCTTATATGTTTATTTATGACGTTATAATCTGCTATGTGTTACGTATCCATGATTGTATGCTAAATTGTAGAAGTACTTAAGTTGTGCCATGCGCCTAGTCGGTAGGATCACAACCTCACAGAAACCACATACACTCAACATCTTTCCGTTTCATGACAGAAAGATGCCTCCACGACCTACTCGTGGAAACCCTGGACCAACCCCACCCGAAGTTGACTCCACTGCATTCCAGGCAGCCGTATCTGCTGCAATCGCCGCAACAATGGAGCAAATTCACCAAGGGAACAACGAAGGAGGCAACAGACTAGGGGCCGGGAGTTCGAACAGCGGAATGAATCAAGGACTCACCAAAACATGTACTTACAAAGACTTCACAAATGCCAAACCACGAACCTTTAACGGCACTGGAGGAGTGATCACCCTGAAACGATGGATCGAAAATGTGGAATCGGTGTTCGAGATATGCGATTGCCCTGAAGAGATGAAGGTGAAGTTTGCTGCATGCACCTTTGTTGACCAAGCACTCACTTGGTGGAACGGACACGTGGAAGCCATGACACTCCTCGTAGCCAATTCCATGCCATGGATAGAAATGAAAGAAATGCTGATGGCCGAATATTGTCCTCGTGGTGAAATTCAGAAAATGGAACAAGAGCTGTTGAACCTCGCTGTCCGGAATGTTGATATAGATGCCTACGTATCAAGGTTTAGCGAACTATCTTTGCTATGTCCTGGCATGATCACCTCGGAAGGAAAGAAGATCGAGCGATTCATCTGGGGACTAACCTCTCCGATCCAAGGAAATGTGATAGCTGCAAATCCCGAAACTTTCAACAGTGCTAAGAGATTGGTCAAGAAGCTGTATGACCATAACAACAAGAAGGGTGAGAAGCCAGCGGAGGCGGAAGCCAAGAAGGAGAGTAATGGCAAGAAGGGGAAGAACAATAAGAGAAAGGGGCGTCAAGGCTCCGAGACTTCCAAGAAGCAGCAGACAGTGGCGGTTAATGTTGCCACCGCACAAGTTCCAGCCACACCACATGCTCCAGCCTCAGCTGCTCCAAATGCTCCTAGACCTTATTCCGGTAATCTTCCCAAGTGCAACAAGTGTGGTTTCCATCACAATGGAGAATGCAAGAGATGCAGTGCACCAGTTGCAATCGGAAAGGGAAAGCGACAAGGTACTGCAGGACTTACCCTCCTCAGAATCAACAATAGGGAAGCAACAACAACAACAACCACAACAACAACAACACCAACGCTGGCGGCAACAATGCCGGACCTAGCCACACCTGCTATGGGTGTGGAAGGAGTGGGCATTTTCGTCGCGATTGCCCTAACAACAACAGTTCCAGAAATGGAGGGACGAGAAGGGTGCTAGCCATGGGTCAGGGGGAGGCAATTCAGGATCCCGCTGTTGTTACTGGTACGTTTCCCCTAAACCATACTTACGCATGCATCCTATTTGACACCGGAGCAGAGAGAAGCTTTGTGAGCAATAAGTTTAAGCACTATTTAAAACAACAACCCCAGAAGCTCAATGAAACCTTTACGGTGGAAATGGCCAATGGGAAAACCGAATCCACTGGGGAAATCTACACCGGATGTACCCTAACCTTAAATCAACACATCTTTCGAATAGACTTAATGCCTGTTTCCATTAGGAGTTTCGATGTGATTATTGGCATGGACTGGTTAAGCCCCCACCATGCTGAAATTATGTGTCATGAGAAGGTCGTTCGCCTTCACCTTCCCAATCACGAAACCCTAGTTATTTACGGAGACAAACCTAGCACGAACCTTCGTCTCATCTCGTGCGTCCAGGCACAGAAGCACCTACGAAAGAAAGATTTAACGTTCTTGGCTCACATAGTGGATAAAACCAAGGAGGAGGTTAACATTCAATACATTCCAGTAGCACGTGAATTCCCATACGTATTTACTGAAGATCTTCCTGGAGTACCCCCCAGAGAGACAAGTTGAGTTCCGAATTGACCTCGTTCCAGGAGCAACTCCTCTCGCTAAATCGCCTTACCGGATAGCTCCTGTTGAAATGCAGGAATTGTCCAGCCAACTCAGCGAACTCCTAGGCAAGGGATTCATCCGACCCAGCTACTCGTCATGGGGAGCTCCAATCCTCTTTGTCAAAAAGAAGGACGGATCTTTTAGAATGTGCATCGATTACAGGGAGTTAAATAAGCTCACCGTCAAAAATCGCTATCCACTCCCACGAATCGACGATCTATTTGACCAGCTCCAAGGAGCTAGTTACTTCTCTAAGATAGATCTACGGTCCGGGTACCATCAGCTCAAGGTCCGGAAGAGGATATTCCTAAAACCGCTTTCCGAACTCGTTACGGACATTATGGATTTGTCGTAATGCCCTTCGGTCTAACAAATGCCCCCGCCACATTTATGGATCTGATGAACCGAATCTGTCGACCATTCCTCAACAACTTTGTAATCGTCTTCATTGACGACATTCTCGTCTATTCCCGAAGCGAAGAAGAGCATGGCCAACATCTCCGACAAATCCTAGAAACCCTGCGAACGGAAAAGCTATACGCAAAACTTTCTAAGTGTGAGTTCTGGCTCTATAGTGTGAACTTCTTAGGTCATGTTGTTAGTCGGGAAGGAATTCATGTGGATCCTTCTAAGGTCAAAGCCGTCGAAGGATGGGCAGTCCCGACAACACCCACAGAAATCCGCCAATTCTTAGGCCTAGCAGGCTACTATAGGAGGTTCATTCAAAACTTCTCTAAGATCGCCAAGCCACTTACCTTGCTTACACAAAAGGGCGTACCATTCAAATGGACGGACAAACAAGAAGTTGCATTCCGAACCCTGAAGCAAGCCCTCTGTAGTGCCCCGGTACTATCTCTACCAGAGGGAACGGAAGATTTCGTGGTCTACTGTGACGCGTCGAATTAGGGTTTAGGTTGCATTCTCATGCAGCGTGGAAGAGTGATAGCTTACGCATCCCGCCAACTAAAGACACACGAAGTGAATCATACAACCCATGAGCTGGAATTGGGAGCGGTGGTCTTTGCTCTGAAGATTTGGAGGCATTGCCTTTATGGTACGAAGTGCACCATCTTCACGGACCACAAAAGTCTCCAGCATATCTTGAACCAGAAAGAGCTGAATATGAGGCAACGAAGATGGGTTGAATTATTAAACGATTACGAGTGTCAAATCAAGTACCACCCGGTCAAGGCCAACGTGGTAGCTGATGCATTGAGCCGGAAGGAGTACTCTAATCGTCGTGCGAAAACTCTCTCAATAACCATCCAATCTCACCTAACCACTCAGATTGGAGTAGCCCAATCAGAGGCCATGAAGACAGAAAATAGAGCAAGTGAAGCATTACATGGAATGGAGAAGAATCTAGAGGAAAAAGAGAACGGAGTATACTGTTTCATGAACCGTATTTGGGTCCTTAAACTTGGAGGGTTCAGAGAGGTAGTCATGAATGAAGCTCACAAAACGCGATACTCCATCCATCCTGGTTCGGACAAGATGTACTTGGATATTAAACAACATTATTGGTGGCCTAACATGAAGGCAGAAATTGCCATCTATGTCAGCAAATGCCTTACTTGTGCCAAAGTAAAGGTGGAGTACCAGAAGCCCTCGGGGTTATTACAACAACCGGTGATTCCCGAGTGGAAATGGGAAGGGATTTCTATGGATTTTGTGACCAAGCTACCCAAGACGTCAGATGGATTAGACACCCTATGGGTAATAGTTGACCGACTGGCGAAATCCGCTCATTTCCTGCCAATAAAAGAATCCTACAAGATGGAGAGACTGACACGATTATACATTCGAGAAATCGTGAGACTTCATGGAGTACCAGTGTCTATTATCTCGGATAGAGACAGTAGATTCACTTCACGTTTTTGGCAATCACTTCAGAAAACACTTGGAAACCATCTCGACATGGGCACCGCTTATCACCCACAAACGGACGGTCAAACCGAACGAACCATCCAGACGCTCGAAGACATGCTTTGCGCATGTGTGATAGACTTTGGGAAGTCTTAGGATACCCACTTACCCTTAGTCGAATTCTCGTATAACAACAGTTACCATTCGAGCATCAAGGTCGCTCCTTTCGAAGCACTATATGGGTGTAAGTGTAGATCAC